CAACGGGGAGAATATTAATGGTAGAGGTGGTCCTACAAAATAAAAACATGCTGTTAGTGGGGATATATGCCCCTAATATAAATCAGAATGAATTTTATAAAATTTTATATGAGAAATTGATAGAAATTGGCAACCCAAGAATTTGTATATTTGGAGACTACAACGCAATTTCAAATAACAATTAAGACTATGCATGTGAACAAAAGCATAAAAAAACCCAGAATATATTGCCCAAAAGTTTTTTTGAGATGGCCGAAGAACTAGAATTAGTGGATGCTTGGAGGAATCTAAACCCAGGGGTGACTCAGTTCACTTTCTACTCCAGTCTGCACAAATCATGGTCTAGATTGGATATGGCATGGGTAAACAGTGAGTTATTTAAGGAGATCCAGGAAATAAAGATTTTAACTAACACCTGGGCAGACCACAACCCGCTGCAAATAGATTGGAAGGACTGAATCCATAAGAAAAGTAGATGAACACTTAATTCGCAACTATTGAAAGAAAAAAGCTACACCCAAAAAATTAGGGAAGAATTAATTGGTTTTTTTGAATTGAATAAAAAACAGGATACCTCATTGCAGAATCTCTGGGACACAATAAAGGCGTATTTAAGGGGAATATCTATAGCATATATAGAAAATAGAAATAAAAAAGATGGGAAAAACAAAATACTCTAATAAAAAATAGAAGATTTGGAGAACAGACAAATGGAAACTCTGGGAGATGAGCAAATTAGAAATGAGCTGGTGCTAGCAAAGCATGAAATTAACATTTTAGACCAGGAGGAATTAATTAAGAAGCTACAATATACAAAACAAAATTATTTTGAACACACAATATTTTAGTGCAATATTGGAAAAGGCCCGAAGTACAACCAATACACATTATTATTCAAAAAAGCTACGAATGCGCCGAAATGGAGAGGCTCACGCTCAAATTAAATGGGAAGGAAGAGTCAGAGCATTGTTGGTCTTGTATAAGTGGTACAGCTGGGTAGAGCGCAAGAAAAAAGGTATAGAGGATAAATGAACCCAGGACACATACTATAGTTGTATATATTGAATGTATAATAATAATGATTTCAAGACCCCACAGCCCAGCCTCACTTCTCTGAGGGGGAGCCTGGCTGCGCTTACATCCTCCTCAAGGATGCTGCTGATATTTTTGCTCTCCTTGGCCACATTGATTAGATTAACAGAGTTGGAAGGGACCTTATAGTTCATTTAGTCCAACTCCCTGCCCAAGCAAGAGGCCCTACACCATTTCTGACAAATGGCAGTCCAATAACTACTTGAAAGCCTCCAGTAATGAAGCTCCCACAACTTCCAAAGGCAAGCTTTTTCACTGGTTTATTGTTCTCACTGTCAGAATATTTCTCCTTATTTCTAGGTTGAATCTTTCCTTGATCAGTTTCCATCCATTATTCCTTGTCTGGCCTCCAGATGCCTTGAAAAATAGCTTGACCCTTCCTTTCTGTGGCAGCCCCTCAAATATTGGAACACTGTTATCATGTCTCCCCTGGTCCTTCTTTTCACTAGACTAGCCATGCCCAGTTCCTTTAACTATTCTCCATATGCTTTAGTCTCCAGTCCCCTAATTATCCTGGTTGCTCTTCTCTGCACTTTTTCTAGAATCTCAACATCTTTTGTTATAGTGTGGTTACCAAAATTGGATGCAGTATTTTAGGTGTGGTCTTACTAAGGCTTTATATAATGGCATTAGAACCTCACTTGATCTTGATTGTATCCCTCTGTTAATGTAGTTTAGGATTACATTGGCTTTTTTGGCTGCTGCTGCACACTGCTGGCTCATATTTAACTGGTTGTCCACCAAGACTCCCTCTCACAGTTACTGCTATTAAGCCTGGTTTCACCCAGTCTATATGTGTACTTTTGGTTTTTCTTGCCTAAGTGTTAAACTTTACTTTTCTCTACATTGAATTTCATTTGTTAAATAGGGCCCAGTGTTCAAGTCTGTCAAAATCCATCTGGATCTTGAGCCTATCTTCTAGGGTGTTAGCTATTCCTTCCAGCTTAGTATCATTTGCAAATTTGGTAAGTTCCCCTTCTATTCCTTCATCTAAGTCAGTTATGAAGATATTGAAGAGTATTGGGTCTAAGACAGAACCTTGTGGTAACCCACTACTTACTTCCCTCCATGTAGATGTAGACCCATTAAGAACCACTTGTTGTGTATGGTTTGTCAGCCAATTAAAAATCTACCTGGTGGTGATGCTATCTATCCCACTTTTTTTCTAGCTTATCAAGAAGTAGGTTGTGGCCTACTTTGTCAAATGCTTTGCTGAAATCTAAGTATATTATGTCCACAGTATTTCACTGGTCTTCTGCTGAGGAATGAAAGAACTCTGGGATGTAATATATCAGATCCCAGTGATTTATATTCATCAAGGTCAGATAGGTGTCATCTTACTATATTTTTTTTTTTGCTTATTTTAACTTTTATTTCTAGTTTTTTTAAAGTTATGTTTTTGGTAGATTGGGGTATAGTTTCTTTTTGCGTGAAGACCAATGCAAAGAATGGATTAAGCAGCTCTGCCTTTTCTCTGTTGCTTGTTACTTACTTATTTTTTCTCTTTAGTGGACCAAAAGTTTCCTTGATTTCTTTTCTTGTTATTTATATTTTGGAAGAAACTTTTTTTTATTATCTTTGACTTTTGTTGCAAGTCTTTGTTTATTCCAAGCCTTTGCTTTCCTCACTTCATCTTTGTGGATTCTGCCTATCTGCTGTTGTGCGTCCCTCTTTCCATTTTTTGTCCTTTTTGTCTTTCAATTTGTCAGAGAGATCTTTGTGCAGTCATGCTGATTCCTTCTTGGTTTTCTTGGTTTTCTTTCTCAGTGTTATTGTGCTGGACTGGGCTTTTATGATCATACTTATCAGTTTCCCAAGATTCTTGAGTTGTTTTCCCCTTTAGGATTTTCATCCAAGGAATCTTTCCCAAGTTCTCTCTGAGCTTGTTTAAATCAGCTCTTTTAAAGTCTAGGACTCTGGTATCATTGTGTTCTATAACTTGTGTTTGAACTATGTTGAATTCTAGTATGATATAGTCACTCTCACCCAAGGTTCCTGCAGTTTCAACTCCCTCTATCACTTCTTCTCTGTTTCTAAGAATTAAGTCCAGTATGGTTGTCCCTCTAGTTTCCTCCTCTACCTTTTGGACTACAATGTTGTCAGCTAGGTTGGTTAGGAACTTAATTTGATTTTTCACTTGGTGCAGAATTAGTCTTCCAATTGATGTCAGGGTAATTAAAGTTCCCCATTACTATTGTAGTGTGTTTTCTACACATATTTGTTAGTTGATTAGCAAAAAGGATATCTATTTTTTCCACTTGATTGTGTGGCCTATAGTATACACCTATGTCATTCTTTTTTTTCTTTTATATTGACCCATATGCATTCTAGGAGGTTTTTGTTTTCATGCATTTCTGTAGCAATATAGTGGTTGCTCATGGTGTGTGCAGGAGGGCAAAGTTGTGAGTCAGAGGGAGGCCCACTCCATCTCCATGCAAGGAGACCTACCTTTGCAATTAAAGCATCCTCAGCAAAAGGATGACAGACCACCAGGTTAGGTCAGGAGGAAGAGACAAAGGGATGTAGAAAAGACAGCAGGGTTTCTGGTGGTCAAGTGCTAAACATGGTAAATGTTCCTTCCTTCCTTCCTTCCTTCCTTCCTTCCTTCCTTCCTTCCTTC